CACACAAACAGCTGAATTACATTATCTTTCCTTCAGATGTTAAAATTAATATAATTGTGATGTTATCTTTGTAAACAACATTGAATACTTATGATGAAGTGTTGAGAGTTTACCCTTCACTATAAATATCTTTCTGGAGCTCTTTAAAAACCAACACAAACATAATAAGTATCTATTTAAAATTAATTATTTAGAAAACAGGTTTCATATATATTATTTTTACTTATAAATACTCATCTCCAATGCCTCTAAGAACAAGCAAGGAGACAGTAAGTGAGCAAAAGGTGATATCATTTAAATGTATTTAGTACATAAAATCTTTCTTACTGTCAATTAGTTTAAAATCACCAGAAAAAGGCCGTCCCAGCTCAAAACTTTGTGAACATTAAAACATCTATTTAACATTAGTCATTTTGCATGGTATAAGTTCTTTCCACTTTTTGTTTTTGATTTCATTGTAACACAAAAGATTTTTTAGGTGACTTTCTTAAAGAAGAACCTCTCATATGTGAAATGTTTATATATCTTGACATGTATATGATTATGCTACATCAAGCAGTCCTGGCTACCTACATCATATCACCATCTTTGTATTATTGTCTGACTATGTAGTGGACTGTGCAGCATGACTAATATAATTTTAAAAAATAATCAACAGTTTTTGAGTCAAAATCGAATGTTACTAGTCCTTCAAAGCACCCAATCTTGAGACAAATAAAAATTTAACCCATGCTCTGTTTTATAGGAAATAATTGATTCACCTTTTAAACTCCTGTAAAATGTTGACCCCTCTACTGTTTGAAATTATGCACAAAGCTACCCAATGGGCTATCTGTGCTCTGCCCGCCACGGGTATTGAAACCCGGTTTCTAGCGTTGTAAATCCGCAGACATACCGCTGTGCCACTGGTGGGCGACCCCACTACTGTCAATATTATACCCACTTCACATTTTGGCAAAATTACCATGACACAATGCTTACAAGAAGTATAAATTTGGAAGTACATTCAGAAAATGATATTAAAAGCTTTTTCAGCTGTTGCATTAATATGATACACTCACAACACCAAGTTCATCTTGTAAGGATGCACTGTAGAAACTTCCCAGTCAAGGTAGCACCCAATCACACTGGCTAAAACAACAAGTGAATAAATGAAATGATAAATGTATATTTATTTTGAAGTAAATAACAATAATAAAATATTTAACTCCATAAGTCCTTCAGGAAGATTGTTGAATCAGTACAATGAGAAACTGGAACCCACAGGCAGAAGACATAGCCACCTGAAAGTGAGTAAAAGAAAAGGGTTGTGAATATTTTCATTGACTCATTTCTGGCTGCACAGTACCTCTTCCAAAGGAGTTCAGCTGATAATAACTAATGTAGCAAGATGTGGAAATAGAATCAACACTTCAAATAAAAAAAAATATATGTAAAAGTAGTGGTTAAGAGGTAAACCAGAGTAGAAGATACACAAGTTGTAGAAGAATTCTTAAAGGGTCAGAATGAAATATGAAATCAAAAAGAAGCTAAGAAAAATATATGGTTTTTTCCCTTCATAGTTATCCAGGTACATTAAAAGAATATACAATCTTGAAAAAAAGGTTATTTTAGTACAGAATATACTGTTTATGTTATAGGTACTTCAAATTGTTATACATTTCACAATTTTTCCTTCATTAAATAAGGTTAATTATCCAGGAAAATAGAAAGAACACAAGTTAATATTTTCTTAAATTGAAAATGTATTTCCAATAATACTTTCTTCTGCTCATACCACAACTATTACTCAACTGCCAGGGTTTCCTTCCTTTGCCCATCTAAACCTTCATCTGATTTTTTATTGCTTGCTAC